ATCCCGTCCCCTTGACCTGTCCGTCCTCCCTGGACTGACCTATCCCCTTCCTAACTCCCTACCTACACTCACCTTTCCTGGCCCCATCCCCGCCTCTTCGACCTGTTTGTTTCCTCTCCACCTATCCTCTCCTCTATCCCTCTTCTATCCGCCTCCCACTCTCTCCCTATTTATTTCAAAACCCCCTTCCCCTCCCCCTTTTCTGATGAAGGGTCCAGGCCCGAAACGTCAGCCTCTCTGCTCCAATGATGCTGCTTGGCCTGCTGTGTTCATCCAGCCCTGCACCTTGTTGTCTCGGATTCTCCAGCATCTGCAGTTCCTACTATCTCTGGCCTCTTCTCGTGTTGGTCTATCTACATACTGTGTCAGGAATCCTTCCTGAACACACTGGACAAAATCCGCTCCATCTAAACTATTACAACTAAAATGTTTCCAATCAATATTTGGAAAGTTGAAGTCACCCATGACTACAACCCTGTGACTTCTGCACCTTTCCAGCATCTGCCTCCCAATCCGCTCCTCTACTTCTCTGCAACTATTTGGGGGTCTGTAAAAAACCCCCAACAAAGTGACTGCTCCTTTCTTGTTCTGGACCTCAACCCAAACTGACTGGTAGACGGGTCCCCAGGACCTGGTAGGATCTATCCCAGAATGTTGAGGGAGGCAGGTGAGGAAATTGCTGGAGCCTTGTTATGAAATCTTGTATCCTCTTTAGTCACAGGAGAGGTCCCAGAGGACTAGAGGATAGCCAGCATTGTTCCTTTGTTCAAGGGCAACAGGGATAATCCAGGAAATTACAGGCCGGTGAGCCTTCTGTCAGTGGTAGGGAAATTATTGGAGACAATTGTTACAGATAGGATTTACTCATACTTGAAAAATGTATGATAGACAGCACAGCTTTGTGTGGGGAAGGTCATGTCTCCCAAACTTGATTTGAGTATTTTTTGAGGAAGTGACAAAGATTATTCACGAGGGCAGGGTGGTAGATGTTGCCTTTATGGACTTTAGCGAGGCCTTTGACAAGGTCCCTCGTGGCAGGCTAACAAAGAGGGTGAAGTCACATGAGATCTGCAGTCAGCTGGTAAGATGGATGCAGAACTGGGTTGCTCAAAGAAGACAGAGAATAGCAGTGGAAGGGTGTTTTTCTGACTGGAGATCTGTGACCACTGGTGTTTCACAGGGATCAATGCTGGGACCCCTGTTGTTTGTAATATATGTAAATGATTTGGAGGACAATTTAGGCGGCCTGATTAATAAATTTTCGGACAACACGAAGATTGGGGGAGCTGCGGACAGTGAGCAGGACTGATAGAGGATACAGGAGCACACAGCTGGAGACTTGGGTGGAGGGATATGGACCAAGTGCAGGTAAGTGGGACAAGTTTTGTTAGGGAATATGGTTAGCGTGAACCGAAGGATCTGTTTCCAAGGTGTATGACTCTATAATTCTCTGAGGTGATGCATTTTGGGAGCTCTAATGCAGGAGGGAAGTATACAAATGGCAGAACCCTGAGTAGCATCAATATGCAGAGGGATCTAGGTATGCACATCCACAGTGGAAACACAAGTGGATAAGGTGATCAAAAAGGTGTACGGCATACTTGCCTTCATCAGTCAGGGCACAGAATATAGAAGGTGGCAAGTCATGTTGCAGTTGTATAGAACTTTAGTCAGACCACATCTGGAATACAGTGCACAGTTCCAGTCATCACACTACCAGAAGGATGTGGAGGCTTTGGACAGGGTTCAGAAACGGTTTACCAGAATGTTGCCTGGTTCGGAGGATATTAGCAATGAAGAGAGATTGGACAAACTTAGTCTGTTTTCACTTGAATGTTAAAGAACATAGAACATAGAACAGTCAGCACAGTACAGGCCTTTGGCCCACAATGTTGTGCCGACCAATTATCGTACTAAGGTCAATCTACCCTGCATACTCTACATTTTACTATCCTCCATGTACCTATCCAAGAGTGGCTTAAAAGTCTCTAAAGTATCTGACTCCACGGCCACTGCCGGCAGAGCATTCCACCCGCCCACCACTCTCTGTGTAAAGGATCTACCTCTGACATCTCCCCTATACCTTCCTCCAATCACCTTAAAATTATGCCCCCTCGTAACAGTCATTTCCACCCTGGGAAAAAGTCTCTGACTATCCACTCTATCTATGCCTCCCATCATCTTGTAAACCCCTATCAAGTCACCTCTCATCCTTTGCTCCAATGAAAAAAGCCCTAGCTGCCTCAACCTTTCCTCATAAGGCCTGCCCTCCAGTCCAGGCAGCATCCTGGTAAATCTCCTCTGCAATCTCTCTAAAGCTTCCACATCTTTCCTATAATGAGGTGACCAGAACTGAACACAATATTCCAAGTGTGGTCTAACCAGAGTTTTATAGAGCTGCAGCATTACCTCACAGCTCTTAAACTCAATTCCCCTGCCGATGAAAGCCAAACACACCATACGCCTTCTTTACAACCCTACCAACTTGTGTAGTGACTTTGAGGGATCTATGGACATGGAAATCAAGATCCCTCTGTTCCTCCACACTGCTAAGAATCCTGCCATTAACCCTGTATTCTGCATTCAAATTCGACCTTCCAAAATGAATCACTTCACACTTTTCTGGGTTGAATTCCATCTCACACTTCTTTGCCCAGCTCTGCATCATGTTGCAACCTACAACAGCCCTCCACGCTGTACACAACTCCATCAACCTCCTTGTCATCGGCAAACTTACTAACCCACCCTTCCACTTCGTCATCCAAGTCATTTATAAAGATCACAAAGAGCAGAGGTCCCAGAATAGATCCCTGTGGAACACTACTGGTCACTGAGCTCTAGGTTGAATACTTTCCATCTACTACCACCCTCTGTCTTCTATTAGACAGCCAGTTTTGCATCCAGACAGCCAAATTTCCCTGAATCCCATGCCTCCTAACTTTCGTGATGAGCCTACCATTTGGAACCTTATCGAATGTCTTGCTAAAATCCATATATACCACATCCACTGCTCTACCTTCATCAATGCGTTTTGTCACATCCTCAAAGAATTCAATAAGGCTTGTGAGGCTTGACCTGCCCCTCACAATGTCATGCTGACTATTTCTAATCAAACTGTGCTTTTCCAAATAATCATAAATACTATCTCTCAGAATTCTCTCCAATAATTCGCCCACCACAGAAGTAAGACTGACCAGTCTGTCATTTCCAAGATTATCCCTATTCCCTTTCTTGAACAAGGGAATGACATTTGCCACTCTCCGAGCTTCTGGCACTACTCCAGTGGACAGTGAGGACGCAAAGATCATTGCCAAATGGGCAGCAATCTCTTCCCTTGCTTCCTATACTAACCTTGGGTATATCCCATCTGGCCCAGGGGACTTATCTATCCTCATGATCTTCAAAATTTCTAGCACATCCTCCTTCCTAACATCAACCTGTTCGAGCATATCTGCCTGTTTCATGCTGTCCTTACAAACGTCAAGATCCTTCTCACTGATGAATACTGAACCAAAGTATTCATTGAGGACCTCCCCTACCTCCTCTGACTCTGCACACAAGTTCCCTCCACTATCCCTGATTGACCCTACCCTCACTCCTATCTATCCTCTTGTTCCTCACGTAAGTACAGAATGCCTTGGGGTTTTCCTTGATCCTACCCGCCAAGGTTTTCTCATACACCCTTCTAGCTCTCCTAAGTCCATTCTTCAGTTCCTTCCTGGCTACCTTGTAGACCTCTAGAGCCCTGTCCAATCCTTGCTTCCTCAACCTTAGGTAAACTTCCTTCTTCCTCTTGAATGTTGAAGGGTGAGGGATGGCGTGAAAGAAGTTTTCGAAACGTGCTAGGCAGAGAATTCAAGGACAAGAATCCAACAGGACCATAGCGCAAATAATATGAAGGGGACTGAGAATGTCAAGAAGACAAGCCTTAAGGCGTTATGTCTTAGTGCATGGAGCACTCCCAATTAGTCACACAAATAGATATGAACAATATGATATGGTTTGGATTACACAGGTTGTAAAATGACCGGGGATGGGAACTGAACATTTGGAAGGTTTTTTGGGAAGGACCAATAAAAAGGAAAAGAAGGTGGGTAGAACTGCTGGTTAAAGGTTAAAATTAAACCAATTTGACGAAGGATATTAGCTCTGGTGAAGTGGAATGTGTATGGGTGGAGCTCAGAAACACAAAGAGGCAGAAAATGATTGTGAGGGTTGTATGCAGACCCCCAAACTGTAGTGCTAACACTGGGAAGGCTTTAAACAGGATATTAGAGATACAAGCAATAAAGGTACAGCTGTAATTATGGGTTACTTTAATCTGCATATAGTTGGGGCAAACTTCATGGTACTGATGTTGAAGAGAGACTGATCAATTTGGACTATATCCACTGGAGTTTAAAAGAATGAGAAGGATCTCATAGAAACCCCAAGTAACATCATTCTCACATCTCAAATAAAACTAGTTAGGTTGTTAAGACTTATATTGAGGATTCCCACCATCCCAGTAATCACTCTCGTAAAGCTATGTTGTAATCCCTCCATAGCCAGAACATCCATCCTCAGATAAGAAGACCAAAGTTGCACACAATACTCCAAGCATGGTCTCACCAAGGACCTGTATACTTGCAGCAAGACATCCCTCTTTCTGTACTTGAATCCGCTCACTATGAAGGCCAACATACCTTTCCGCCCCTTCACTACCTGCAATCTCACTTACAGGGAGGGAAGGATCTAGTAGGTTCATTATGGGGGAAGGTGCCTGGCTGGCCAGTTATGGGACAAGAGTCATTTCTGGAATCTGTGGGCCAGTTGGTGTGACTCTACTGGAATAAAAAACGGAAACATGCAGCAGTTGATCCATAGGCCTGCTGAGTATTTCCAGCATTTTGTGTTTTATTTCAAGATTTCAGCATCTGCAGTATTTTGCTATGGATTTAGTGGTTAGCTGGATGTAACTGTGGGGTTCTTGACAATTTTCTGTGCATATGGTTTGGTACCTCTCAGAGTCCAGTTTCATCAGTGCCCGGACATCGAAGCAGAACTGCACGTCTGTCACTGTACAACTGGGGTAGGCTTCACTGAAACAAGAGAAAAAGCCACATCAGAAGCTGCCAATATTTCACTCCACTTTGCAACACTTTAGTAACTTCTCACTAAAAACTCATCCAGCACATAGGAATAGCACAGAAATACAGTAAATAGACTCAAACAAATATCTGTCTCAGTTTCTTTATTCATTAACGGGATGAGAGCGTCGCTGGCCAGGCAGCATTTATTGCCCATCCCTAATTGCTCAGAGTCAACCACATTGCTGTGGGTCTGGAGTTACATGTAGGCCAGACCTGTGAGGATGGCAGTTTCCTTACCTAAAGGACATTAGTGAACCCGGTGGGTTTTTCCCCAATAATCGACAATGGATTCATGGTCATCATTAGATTCTTAATTCCAGATAATTTATTGAATTCAAATTCTACCATCTACCATGGCAGGATTCAAACCTGGGTCCCCAGAACATTATTTGGGTCTCTAGACTAACAGTCCAGCGATAATACTTCTTGGCCATCGCCTAGTTACACAAGCACAAAACTATAAAATCACAGACACCAACTAATCATCATTTGGTGCTTATCCTCCAAAAAAGCTCACCTTTATCCACACACACACACACACACACACAAACACACACACACAACTGCGGGGAGTTGGTTTCAGCAGTAATTGTCAAAGTCCAAAGTTTAATGTGGGCTATTATCCACTTGCCATTGGAAATTAAGTGACTTTGGTGAAGCAAAGATTTTGATATAAAAGTCTAGATGTAGACAGAATGCTTCCTCTAGTTGGGAAGCCAAGAACCAGGGACACAATCTCAGGAGATTGAGTAGGCCATTTGGGGCCAAGGTGAGGAACCATTTCTTCACTCAGAGGAATTCACACCACAGAAGGTTGTGGAGGCCAAGTCACTATATATATTCAAGAAAGAGATTTATGATTTTTTAAATTAAAGGCATCAATGGGTATGGAAAGAAAGCAGAAACATGATGTGGAGATAGACAATCAGCCATGATCATATTGAATGGAGCAGGCTCAAAGGGCAGAATGGCCTACAGTTGCATCTATGTTCCCTGTTTAATTGCTAGATCAATTAGTGGAAGGGTCCCTGTGCTGAAGGCTACCTAGCAACAGCCTCTGGATTGCAGTTACTGTGTTTTCCAGCAGGCCTAGGTGAGTCAGTTGAAGAAAGTCCTCCAGGCTGGAGAGGTCAGTCTTTGACTGTTCTGAAAAATAGCAGAAAGCCCATATCAGGATCAGCTGCAAAAATTTCTCATGGCTGAAATATTATAAGAACCTGATGAAGTCAACTATCAGAATTTCTAACTATTTCTCATCTGAACTGAAGTCTGGTTTGAAAAAACAAAAACAGAAATTGTTGGAAAATGTCAGCAGGTCTGGCTGTATCTGTGGAGAGAACTCAGAGTTAACATTTTCAATCCAGTGACCCTTCTTCAGAACCTTTGTTCTTCATTCTGAAGACGGGTCACTGGATCCAAAACATTAACTCTGAGTTCCCTCCACAGATGCAGCCAGACCTGCTGACATTTTCCAGCAATTTGTTTTTGTTTCTGATTTCTAACATCCACAGTTCTTTTGGTTTTTTTTATTCTGGTTTGAAGATCTCATTAGTCCTACAACTACTAACATTGTAATCTTGATAACGGGAAGTCAACGGACAGTGAGAAGTCCAACTTTTATTTATCCTTTGAATTCGGAGCCTTGATCACATCAGGATGTTTTCTCATTTACTTCTTTTAAAAAAAGCAAATAATCTCTGCAAAGCTGTACTGTCTTGTTTGTTGTATGAATTTAATTTTAAGTAGCAGCTTAGTAGCTCATCAGTTTTGCCACTTATTGTTTACAATAAACAAGTTATTTCTGAGTCTGTTGAAGTATCCTGGTGAAAGTCTGGATAACGGCAAACACTTGTATACTCCAACTCACATTCATACACTCTCAGCAACCTCTGTTCAAGCCATGCTCTGGTCATGAACAACTATAAAACCTCATTACTCACTGGAAATGTTTAATAATGAGATTTGTGTCTGTGATTTCCTTTGGGATTTGTGAAATCATCAGCGTTCTTGCCACCTACAGAGGAGAAATGTCACAGTTAGAATTCAGAAAACTTGAATCATCTAGAGGACATCAAACTGACATTCCCACAAATCCAGGCTATCCTCATCAAAAACCTCAACTCCCCAGGGATCTCCAAAGCCAAACCAAGTGTCTGAATGCATTTGGAATACTGTGCACTGTATTGATTACCCAATTTAAGGAAGAATGTAAGTGTTTTGATAGCTGTTCAGGGAAGGTTTGCCAGATTAATACCTGAGAGGGTTATTCTATGATGAAAGGTTAGACAGGCTAGGTTCAAAGTTTGGTGTGGGAGAAATGGGTTCCAGCTCAGAGGCCACTGACACCAGTACTGGGAAAGTGTGAGCTGTACCATGTTCTTGCAAACTGTATAACAATGGAAAGAGTGAGGGTTTAAAACTAAATAGTAGGGCAAAGGGATCTAATGTAGAAAGATGTGATATATCAAAGAGTAGAGACAAGATAAGAGAGGAAAATAGTAATATGGAAATGAGAGTCAGGGTATGGCAGGAAAGGCAAAAAGAAAACAGCTAGCATGATACCAACAGAGATAACAAGGTGTAGAGCTGGATGAACACAGCAGGCCAAGCAGCCAACAAACTGATGTTAGAAAGACAACAGAAAAAAACCTAAAGGTTCTGCATCTGAATACACATAATAGACCACAGAAACAGGCCCTTTGGACCATCATGTCTACACCAATGAACAAACAACAAACTACACTAATCCTATTTATCTGCACTTGGTCCATATCCTCCTATGCCCTGGAATTTTAAGTTCTCATCCAGATGCTTTGTCAATGTTGTGAGAGTACCTGCCTCCACCACCCTCTCAGGCAGCATGTTCCATATTTCAATCATCCTCTGGGTGAAAATATTTTTCTCAGATTTCCTCTAAAACAGTTACTCCTCACCTTAAACTTATGCCCTCTGGGCTTAGACATGTCTGCACACAGGGAAGAGTGAAGTTCAAAACAAAGCAAATAAATTGAAGTGAAGTAAATTAAGTATGATAGGACTATTACAGAGATGGGGCAGCAGAATGACAAGAAGTGGGTCCTGAATACTGGGGGTTTTATGACATTTAAGAAAAATAGGAAACTAGGTAAAAGTGAAGAGTTAGCACTGTTACTCAATAATGGTACTTCTGCAATAGAACAAAGAACAAAGAACAAAGAAAATTACAGCACAGGAACAGGCCCTTCGGCCCTCCAAGCCTGCGCCGATCCAGATCCTCTATCTAAACCTGTTGCCTATTTTCCAAGGATCTGTATCCCTCGGCTCCCTGCCCATTCATGTATCTGTCTAGAAACATCCTAAATGATGCTATCATGCCCGTCTCTACCACCTCTGCTGGCAACGCATTCTAGGCACCCACCACCCTCTGCGTAAAGAACTTTCCACACATATCTCCCTTAAACTTTTCCCCTCTCACCTTGAAATCATGACCCCTAGTAATTGAGTCCCCCACTCTGGGTAAAAGCTTCTTGCTATCCACCCTGTCTGTACCTCTCATGATTTTGTAGACCTCAATCAGGTCCCCCCTCAACCTCCATCTTTCTAATGTAAATAATCCTAATCTACTCAACCTCTCTTCATAGCTAGCGCCCTCCATACCAGACAACATCCTGGTGAACCTCCTCTGCACCCTCTCCAAAGCATCCACATCCTTTTGGCGACCAGAACTGTATGCAGTATTCCAAATGTGGTTGAACCAAAGTCTTATACAACTGTAACATGACCTGCCAACTCTTGTACTCAATACCCCGTCCGATGAATGAAAGCATGCTGTATGCCTTCTTGACCACTCTATCGACCTGCGTTGCCACCTTCAGGGTACAATGGACATGAACACCCAGATCTCTCTTGTGCATCAATTTTCCCCAGGGCTTTTCCATTTACCGTATAGTTCGCTCTTGAATTGGATCTTCCAAAATGCATCACCTCGCATTTGCCTGGATTGAACTCCATCTGCCATTTCTCCGCCCAACTCTCCAATCTTTCTATATTCTGCTGCATTCTCTGACAGTCCCCTTCACTATCTGCTACTCCAACAATCTTAGTGTCATCTGCAAACTTGCTAATCAGACCATCTATACCTTCTTCCAGATCATTTATGTAAATCACAAACAACAGTGGCCCCAACATGGATTCCTGTGGAACACCACTGGTCACAGTTCTCCATTTTGAGAAACTCCCTTCCACTACAACTCTCTGTCTCCTGTTGCCCAGCCAGTTCTCTATCCATCTAGCTAGTACACACTGGACCCCATGCGACTTCACTTTCTCCATCAGCCTACCATGGGGAGCCCTATCAAAATAGTTAGAGATGACTTTGGTTCAGGAGATCAGGATGCAGAAAGGTTTGACTGAAGAACAGAAATAATAGGGAAAGAAATCATTCGTGAAGGTGGTCTACAGGCCCCCTACCAGCGACCACAATTGAGGACAAGGTATACAAAAATAAATACTGGATGATTACAACACAGGAATGACAATAATCATGGGTGATCTTAATCCACATATAAACTCGAAAAATCATACTTCACTAGCAGCTCAGTTGAGAAGTTCATAAATTGCTTTCAAGACAGTTTCTTATAGCACATTTTGGAACTGGCCAGACAGCAGCTTATATCACAATCAGTATTGTGTAATATAACAGGATTAATTAATGACCTCAGAGTTAATGGCACCTCTAGCAGCAGCCACCAAAATATTTGAATTTTACATCCAGTTTGAAAAGGAGAAGTTTGGGACTAAGACTAGTATTTTATATCTAGATAAGGACAACTATGGATGTGAAATGATGAATGGCAGAGAATGAATGAAAGGTTAATCAGGAGGAAGAAACCAGAGGATGAAAACAAATTAGCTATCAATGTAAAAGCAAATAGCAAGAGTTCCTACAGGCAATCAAAATGAAAAAATCCAACTAAAATGAGTGTTGGTGCTCCAGAGAGTTAGAATGGGGAGTTCATGGTAGATAATAAAGAAATGGTAGATAAGATGGACAAATATTTTGCTTTTGTCTTCACTGTGGAGGATACACAAAACATTCCAGTAATGTGGCAAATCAAAAGGTGGAAGGGAGAGATGAATTTAGCAAAATTACATTCATGAGGACAGCTGCCTTGATTGATTGATTTATTGTCACGTGTACCGAAGTACAGTGAAAAGCTTTGTTTACGCGCGGTACAGGCAGATTATAGGTAAGCAAGGATGTACAGATCCAAAAGAGGCAAAGAGGTTACATTGCACAGTGCATGCGCTAGGTGAAATCAACATTAGCAAGATTAGCATTATTTGAAGCTAGGGAGTCCATTCATCAACTTAAGAACAGCAGGGAGGAAGCTGTTCCTGAACATGTTCGTGCATGTGTTCGGGTTTCTGTATCTTCTGCCTGACGGAAGAGGTTGTAGGAGGTCATTACTGGGATGCGATGGGTCTTTGATGATGTCGGCTGCCTTTCCACGACATCGAGCCGTGTAAATGGAGTACATGGATGGGAGGTTGGCTCCTGTGATAGTCTGGGCTGTGCACACCACCTTCTGTAGTTTCTTACAGTTCTGGGCAGAGCAGTTGCCATATTGGGCTGTTATAGACCCAGACAGTATGCTTTCAATTGTGCATCTGTAGAATTTGGTGAGGCACCTTATGGACATGCCAAATTTCCTGAGCCGCCTGAGGAAGAAGACGCATTTTTGTGCCTTCTTGACCATTGCATCTACATGTGAAGTCCAGGACAGGTTGTTGGCTACCGTCACTCCAAGGAACTTGACGCTATCCACCCTCTCAACCTCAACTCCGTTGATGTAGATGGGGATGTGTTCTTCTCCTCCTCTCTTTCTGAAGTCAATGATCAGTTTTTTAGTTTTGCCAACCTTGAGAGAAAGGTTGTTCTCGTTGCACAACATCACCAAACCCTTTATCTTCCTCCCGTATTTTGACTCATTGTTGTTAGATATCTGTCCTAATACAGTGGTGTTATTGGCGAACTTGTGGATGGCATTTGTTTGGAATTTGGCAACACAGTTGTGGGTGTAGAGGGAGTACAGTAGGGGCTGAGGTTGCATCCTTGCAGGGCTCCAGTGTTAAGAGTTATTGTGGAGGAGGTGCAGTTGTCTATCTTCACCAATTGCGGTCTGTGAATCAGAAAGCTGAGGATCCAGTTGCAGAGGCGGAGCCAAGACCAAGGTCATGGAGTTTTGAGATCAGTCTGGAGGGCATAATGGTGTTGAAGGCAGAGTTGTGGTCAACGAGCAGTCGTCTGATGTAGGTGGCCTTGTTATCCCAGACGTTCCAGGGATGAGTGCAGGGTGAGGGAAATGACATCCTCTGAGGGCCTGTTATGTCGGTAGACAAACTGTAGGGGATTGAGGCAGGTTGAGAGACTAGAGTTGATATGGACCATGAACAGCCTCTCGAAGCACTTCATGAGGTCAGAACCACTGGGCAGCAGTCATTAAGGCACGTTGCACGTTGTTTTTTAGGTACGGGGTTGATGGTGATCTTCTTGAAGCAGGTGGGGACTAAGGCTTGTAGGAGGGAGAGGTTGAAGATGTCGGTGAATGCCTCCGCCAGTTGGTCCGCACAGGATTTGAGAGCTCGGCCGGGGACATCATCTGGGCCCATCGCTTTCCTCGGGTTGATTCCTATGAAGACAGACCTGACATCTGTAGCAGTGACCAAGGGAACAGGTGTCTAGGGCTGTCAGAGTAGGCATCACCGCGCCACTGGCATTCTGCTCAAACCGAGCATAGAAAGCGTTGAGCGCATCAGGGAGGGATATGTCTTTGTCTGCTATCTTGCTCTGCTTCATTTTATACCCCATAATTGTCCTGAGCCATCTAATGTGTGCTCTGGCTGACAAGTTGCCAGGTCCAGATGGACATCATTCTAGAGTCTTAAAAGATGGGGTTGATGAGGTAGTAGATGCATCAGTATTAATTTTCCAAAATACCCTAGATTCAGGAAATACTCCCATCAGACTGAAAG